GTTTAGGGTCTAGGGGTTTAAGGGTTGAGAGGTTTTGGGTTAAGGCTTTAGGGGTCTAGGGTTTTAGGGTCTTAGGGTTTAGAGGTTTAAGGGTTTAGAGGTTTAGGGTTTAGGGGTTTAGGGTTTTGGGGGTTCAAAGGTTTAGAGGTTTAGGGATCCATGGGTTTAGGGTCCAGGGGTTTCAGGGTTTAGAGGTTTTGGGTTAAGGCCTTAGGGGTTTAGGGGTTTAGGGTTTAGGGGTTTAAGCCCTAAACCCTAAGCCTTAAACCCTAAGCCCTAAACCCTAAGCCCTAAACCCTGAACCCTAAACCCTAAGCCCTAAACCCCTAAGCCCCTCTAAACCCTTAAACACCTAAACCCTAAGACCCTAAACCCCTAAACCCCTAAGGCCTTAAACCCCCAAACCCCTAAACCTCTAAACCCTTAAATCCCCAAACCCCTAAAACCGTAAACCCTCAAACCCCTCAGACCTTAACCCTTAACCTCAAAACCCTTAAACCCCTAGACCATAAGCCCCTAAATCCCGAAACCCCTAAGCCTTTAATCCTAAACCTCTTAGGGTTCTGGGGTTTTGGGGTTTAGGGGATTAGGGTTTAGGGGTTAAACCCCTCCCTGGAGCTCGACCGTTGTTTTGCCTCGGTCGAGGCGGTGGTGCGGTGAAACGACAGGGACGTCTGGCCTCCACAATTATAATTTAACCTTAAATTGTATTTATACTTGAAGCTTTGAGCTTACAGTCTATGCTTAAGTCTTTAGGATTATAGAGGTCTATATTATAATTGTGGAAGCAGAAAAAAGCTACAGCACCCTATTTCTAGGGGCTTCCGAAAAAGCACCTGTTTCGAGGTGCTATGGCCCTATTTCTAGGGCTTGCTGCCGAAAAAGCACCTGTTTCGAGGTGCTATGGCCCTATTTCTAGGGCTTTTTCTTGCAGAGCTGCCGGCAGAGGCTAAAGGTCTGCTGTGTCTATCATTCGACACAGCATTGCCTCGCTTGCCGAAGGCAGGTCTCGGTACACAGTCACACCATCCTTTTTCAAGGCCGTGTGCTTTTCCCTTTTGGTGGTTATTGGGAAAACCACCAAACCTGCACTGCGGGCTTCGGCCAAAATCTCGGCATTGTCGTCGATAATGGCCGAACACCCCAAGCTCACAGCAAGCCTGGTCTTTCCGTCTGGACCGCTCCTTTCAGAGCAGGTCCACAGACCTTGGATGCTGTCCGTCAGACCGACGGCCCCCAACTGACCCCAGATCTCTTGAGCTCTTTCCTCGCGGTTGTTTGGGGTCACGAAGCTCACGATGCAGATTTCCCAGTCTGCACGGGCTAGAGCCTGTATCGCAGCCTTCCACATCGGCCGGATGTAGCTCTCTTTGTTGATCTGGAGGGTCTGGTGGTAGTCGACACAGACCCTTCCAGCTTTGAGGACCCTGTCAACCCTATTTCTAGGGTTGACACCCGAGCTGGCAGAGGCCTCAGCCGTGACACCCCTGTTTCTAGGGTTGACACCTGAGCTGGCAGAGGCCTCAGCCTTGGCAGCTTGCTTTGCACCCTTTTTCAAGGGCATCTTCTTGGGCTCCGGCTCCTTTTTCTCGGGCTCCGTCTCCTTTTTCAAGGGCTCCGTCTTTCTTCCCTGCTCTGCACCCACGATGTCGATGCCTTCGGGCGGCACCGCATCTAGGGGCTTGCTTGGCGGAGTGCGGGAGCGGGAAGTCGACGACGAAGCGGATCGGCGGTGCCTCCTGTCGCCGACCTCTGGACGAGCTTGGTTGAGCTCGTCGTCGTCGGCCCTATTTCTAGGGCTTTTCTCCTTCCAGTCCTTCCACTTCTGCCACTGCTCGTCGTCGTCGGCCCTATTTCTAGGGCCTTGCTCCTTCCACTCCTTCCACTCTTTCCACTCCTTCCATTCTTTCCACTCCTTCCACCCCTGCCAGTCACCCCAACCCCAGTCCCTGCTGGACTCGGGCCAGGGCTGGCTGCTCGAGCTACTCTGGTAGCCTTGCCACTGGCCCCTTTTCCAAGGGTCCTCCTCCTCCTCCCACTTTTCCCACTTTTCCCACTCTTCCCACTCTTCCCACTCCTCCTCCTCTTTCTCTTCCTCTTGCTGAGCTGCTTCTTGAGCTCTGGCAGCTTTGGAGAACTCCCACCCGCCCCGGTCTGACCCTGGGCCAAACTGGGCTAGGCGGCTCTCCTTCCGCTTGTTCGAACTCGTTCCCGTACCCAGGGGTTTACCTTGACGGTTTAACACCCCGGCAACGGCTTTGGAGGCCGGCATGGTGCCGACCTTCAGCTGCAGCTTAAGCCAAAAAGCAGCGGACACGAGGTTTTTTAGGGTTTGCAGGTTAAGGGTTTAGGCTTGAGGGTTTAGGGTGTTGGAGGCTTCGGGGCTGAGGCTTCAGGGTTTTGCCCTTTTTCAAGGGCATCTCCGGGCTTAGGGGCAAGTTAAGGGTTTAGGCTTGAGGGTTTCGGGTGTTGGAGGCTTCGGGGCTGAGGGGTTCAGGGTTTTGCCCTTTTTCAAGGGCATCTCCGGGCTTGTAGGGGCTCAGGGCTTCAGGGTTACGAAGGGCCTTGGAACCTCTAGGCTTCAGGCCTCCAGGCTTGCAGGAGAAGCCCTTT